ACGGGATCATGATAGTCAATAGCTGATGCATTACCAGCCAAAAAACCCGTAAGATCGGGTTGCGGTGGGATGATTGGTGAGGTGTCAGATTTGTGTTAAAATCATGCATGACGTGTGATATGCAAATATGATATTTGTATCTATTGATTGAGATATTCGATTATTTAGTATTCAATGTCTTTGAGCATACTTTTTCTTGTCATATTGTATATTTTTCCGTTTTATTTAATACTTTTACTTTGATTTTAGAGAAAAGATTGAAACGAAATAATCAGAGTATTAAAGACGAGAAGATGTCGATGTAATTGATGTTTTAATAATATTGGGAACTTTATTCATATTGACAGATATATTTGTATTGGGAGATGATTTTGATAAATAAAATTTTATTGGGACAATTAGTACTCTGTTTTTTTTATTTGAGCGTTTTTATATCAATTAACGTCTTCAAAAAGAAGAAAAAATTAGTGTGTTACATGATATACTCGTTCAATCATAAGTCAACATGTGAGATTCATTTATCCACATAATTAAATAATTACTCATCTATGTTATGCAATGACTATTCCATAAACAACGTTATACGTACCAAATTTTGTATCCTAAATTAACATAGGTAATTGGATCAGTAGGGTCTACTAACTCTACTAAACATTCAACATATAAAATTTTAACACATCATTTAAGATACAAAATTTGATAAACAAATTTGGACAATATAGTTTTATCCCTATCCCATATGTCATGTAATAACTATACCATATGAAATTCACTCGTCTACATATTAACTTATGATTGAATGATTATACCAAGTTATCGTGATAACGTGATATAACTGTTACACCTGATATTTTTCTCTCAATTACCATACTTTGGGGGTCTTGATAACATTTCTCCCCATTTTTTTTTCTTTCTTATTTATGGGGTATGGCTCGTCTGCGATTGGAAAGTTACTGCATAACATGTGGTTTAATGAAACGTCGGCGTTTCACTCTGCTTTTTGCTTCTTTTTTTTTTATTTCCTCTTACCAAAACGACGTCGTTTTGATCTTTTAAATCAGCATCAAACCCCCTCCCTTTTCNTGTTGTAATTTGAGAGGTTGAATTTTTTGTAAATTACAAATTAAAGCTTTTGCTCAGTTTGGTGTTAACTTTCTTCCATTTGCTTTAGGAATAGAGTTTCCTTTGACAATGGTTCATTGACCAACTACTCAACTATTTTCTTGTTCAAAAACTTCTCTAAAGGCTTCAATTTCCCTAATTTGTCAAGTTGTTGGTTCTGTTGTTGTTCTTGGAGAACTACTTGAAATAGTGGCATAACTTCTGTGGTACAAGTCAATTAATTGAACTTCTTTATTTGAAATTGGTGCTAGGTTTTACAATCTTCTAATGGGCACATACATGTGGATTAACAAAGTTGCGAGATGGTGTATTTCTCGGTTGTTTCTCTCAATGTTATCAACAACAGTGCTAAGTTTGATGAACACTTCCTAATACTGGGTCTCTTTNAGCAAAGTTGCGAGATGGTGTATTTCTCGGTTGTTTCTCTCAATGTCATCAACAACAGTGCTAAGTTTGATGAACACTTCCTAATACTGGGTCTCTTTATATTATGGCTACTACATTTTGGCACAATGATCATGTTTTACTCATTTTATTTTAACTAGCTGATACACGCGTGTGTTGCACGCTGATAATTTTAAGTTATAATTTTAAGTTTTTTTCAAATCAAACTATTTGATCACCAATGAAATCCGTCATTAAAGTCTTACCCCGCTAATCAAAAATATATCAATAATTATGTCTACTAATTTTTCTTGTGTAAAAAAAAAGAAAAAAAGCAATCTTCTAATAAATAGATCTGCATACACAAAGCCCAAACAAGGAAAAATACACAAAGTCAAACTCAATGGTGCTTAAGGTAACAAACTGCTCTTTCAGATTGAGTGATTTCTAAGATATATGTTGGAAAATTTCGTAAGAAGAACAATAATAATTTCTGATTCTAAATTCACATGTCAATTCTAACTTGGTCAATTCAGGTACAAAATTAAATAAATAGAACTACTCAACTTACAACATATTAGCAGTATTTTTGTTTCGTCCATGAAAATATATCGCTAGGAATTTTCTTCTTTGCTTTTGCTTTTTTTTCAAGAAGATAATTGTTTCAAGCATTAAAATACACCTGTGAATTACCTTGCAATACCATATAGAACAAATGATTTGTAAAACTTGTATTTCATTTTAGTCATCTCATGGGATTAGAGATATGTCACATGTGAAGTCTTAAAACATACACATACAATTAATTAAATATCGCCCACAATATACAAATGATGATTTCAATTTTTAAGCTGAAATCTGAAAACAAAAAGCGCTCATACTCATGAAGAACATAAACTATGGTGGTTAGCCAATAATTAAAAGATATAATATGACACCGAGATAAAGCTTGTNATCTGAAAACAAAAAGCGCTCATACTCATGAAGAACATAAACTATGGTGGTTAGCCAATTAAAAGATATAATATGACACCGAGATAAAGCTTGGGATAATTTGGAATAAAGGTGGTGTCATAACATATATATTGCATCAATACAAAATGATAAAGATGACAAAGCAAAAGGAATTAGAAATATTTGGTTTGGTTTGTGGCTGCAAATGGAGAGGGAAAACGTTTGGCTTGGGCTCCATCATGGTGATGCATTATCTGAAACCTGCAAATAATATCTAGGTATGCTTTACGAAAATCGGTTTATAAGTTTAGCAAGTCAATCAACTTCTCACCGTTCCATGTCTTGGAGTTATGGAACTCCAAGGGTTCTGTAAGAGTTATGTCTATTTAATTGACAATAACTTGCAGAGAGATTTATGGCCCAGTGAAAAATCACAACAAAATGATATTGTTTAATTGTTAGCATGTTTTAAGGATATTATTGTCAATCAAAAGTTTTGCACAAATATTGAATCAAAAGTTTTGCACAAATACTGAGATGGATAGATAGATATATAATATAATACTAAAGGGAGGTTAAATGATGCAATAGGACCCCCGATAAAAAAATAATAATTAGGGTTATAAGTGGTGTAGATATATATATGTTTGTGAATTTAATTAATTTTAGAAGATCATGGAATCTGATAGGTTTATGTATTTAATTTAAGAAGTTAAAAGGGTATGAGGGATATAATGGACTTTATTACATTAATCGAGGGTAAAAGAGGAAATCAAATGTTTTTCATTGTTAAAAAATAATTAGGGTTATAAGTGGTGTAGATATGTGTGTGTGTATATATATATATATATATATATATATATATATATATNGAATCTGATAGGTTTATGTATTTAATTTAAGAAGTTAAAAGGGTATGAGGGATATAATGGACTTTATTACATTAATCGAGGGTAAAAGAGGAAATCAAATGTTTTTCATTGTTAAAAAATAATTAGGGTTATAAGTGGTGTAGATATATATATATATATATTTAATTTTAGAAGATCATGGAATATGATAGGTTAATGTATTTAATTTAAGAAGTTAAAAGGGTATGAGGGATATAATGGACTTTATTATATTAATTGAGGGTAAAAGAGGAAATCAAATATTTTTCATTGTTAGCCACTTTTATAAGTAATATAGATATAGATAAATAGGTGGTTGAGCAGAATATTAACTATGCTCATCGTGGTCAAAGTGTTAATTGCGACGCTTATTTTTTATGTAATACTTCTACACATTCATCTTAGGTATACATATGTCATATGTATTTAACCATATGCATCACACCATGTTAGCACAACTATTTTGATCAAGTTAATTATTATTTTTTTGCTTGTAGGATTCTAACAGTAAAAATAAATTTGTCATAATGCACCGGTCTACAATCCTCTTCAAAACGGTAGAACGAAAAGTAGGAGCAACCTACNTACATATGTCATATGTATTTAACCATATGCATCACACCATGTTAGCACAACTATTTTGATCAAGTTAATTATTATTTTTTTGCTTGTAGGATTCTAACAGTAAAAATAAATTTGTCATAATGCACCGCTCTACAATCCTCTTCAAAACGGTAGAACGAAAAGTAGGAGCAACCTAAATACAATCAAGGCATAAAGACATCTATACGAGTATTCATACGGGCACAACTTCTAAGACTCTCATTCATTTGCAAGTAAATAGAATCATAAGTTTTGCTTCAGGGCCAATAAAGTCAACTCATTTGCAAAATTTTGCTTCTAAGGGTCTAGCATTTTGGTTCCTTAGCAGGTTGTGGTATAATTGTGTGAGTGTTTATGTTTCCTAAGTTATTATTTGATAGTTATAGTCAAAAAATTTACTATTAATCTGTAATAAATATTGTTTAAAGCCTTTATGAGATACTATCCCTCGCAAACTTTTAGAATTCTGTAATAAATATTTTCATAAAGTTTTCTACCTAATGATAATTGAGTATACTTGACGAATTATTGTCTCCTCTCAACTCCTTACACCAAAATGAAAGATAAGAATATAAATGATACTCATATTTTCTATATTAGAATTTATTATTATTTTCTTGTAATATTGCAAATTAATAGGCAAATTAGTTGCTTTTTGTCAATTAGAGATCTTTAGTCAGAATTTTGTAATATCTATTGCTTGAGTACTAGAAAAAATTTTACAGNTTTTTGTCAATTAGAGATCTTTAGTCAGAATTTTGTAATATCTATTGCTTGAGTACTGGGAAAAATTTTACAATCCAGTGAATATACATAAAATCTAGCAGTTTTAAAGTTCTTGATAGATGCGGTTGTGGAATGTGATTGGTGTGCATATAAACTTCTAAACAATGGCAAAACAAGGTTAATGCCTCTATATAGAGAGTCTAATAAAATTGATAGCCAATTGACGAATTAATCCTACAACATGTCTCTTTTACATGTAGATGATATAAATGGNAGATGCGGTTGTGGAATGTGATTGGTGTGCATATAAACTTCTAAACAATGGCAAAACAAGGTTAATGCCTCTATATAGAGAGTCTAATAAAATTGGTAGCCAATTGACGAATTAATCCTACAGCATGTCTCTTTTACATGTAGATGATATAAATGGATTGTGTTAGTTTGTGTAGTTGATGACTTTTGTTAAATAGTGACTATAAAGAGTACTTGATGACATGAAAATTATGGTTTAAGTATAGTAATTTTTTTTAATAAATCAAGCAATTCAAAATAAAATTGGCTCATGTCGTCAACAACTTGCATAGTTGACTTATAATCATTTTTTTCTTTTTTCTTTTTTTTGAAAAAGAAAAATGCTGACAAATGACATTTAATAGTTTATTATTTTTGGGTCATGTTTTGAAATGCAAAAGACACTAAACAACATTTTTTTAAACCCTTCTTACAAACATGTTTATGGATATAGGTTTCTAAGACCATAATCAAGTGTCAAGCAACACTTTGTCGGAAAAGTAAAACATAAACNCATAGTTGACTTATAATCATTTTTTTCTTTTTTCTTTTTTTTGAAAAAGAAAAATGCAAACAAATGACATTTAATAGTTTATTATTTTTGGGTCATGTTTTGAAATGCAAAAGACACTAAACAACATTTTTCTAAACTCTTCTTACAAACATGTTTATGGATATAGGTTTCTAAGACCATAATCAAGTGTCAAGCAACACTTTGTCGAAAAAATAAAACATAAACAAAATATTATAATTCACAACTATTCACGTGCAACGCACGTGTGCAACCACTAGTTCAATAAAAACTTAAAACACACTTAAATTTTGAGGTTAAACCTGAATTATGAATTAAAGTTGAGCTCGATTTTACTAATTCAGATTGGGTTTGGTTGAACCTGTAAACTAGAAATCTTAACCCGAATATGACTTGAATTTAATTTTAGCTAAGATTTGTCGNAAACACACTTAAATTTTGAGGTTAAACCTGAATTATGAATTAAAGTTGAGCTCGATTTTACTAATTCAGTTTGGGTTTGGTTGAACCTGTAAACTAGAAATCTTAACCCGAATATGACTTGAATTTAATTTTAGCTAAGATTTGTCAACACAAGTTTAATCTAAACCCTATTTTTTTCAAACTGAATTTGAGTTAGCCTGCTCAAATTGTACCCGAGACCAACCAGTTAATAGAGGAAAACAATCAAATTCATTGAGAATTATTACAGGAATAAACTTCAATAATAATTTGGCTCAAGGGCGATACACCAAAAAAAATAGAAAAAAAAAACAAATGAACTAGAAACGACGTCGCTTTAATACTTATCACTGTGAAAAATTTAACCTTAAACTGCGTCGTTTTTGGGTCTTTCAACGTTTCACATTGTAGGTACGATCACTGATCAGCGGTCTGTGTAGGCAAAGGCAAAGATTGGGTACGACGCAGTGCAGGTGATTCATCTGAGTCCCATCTTAGACTTATCGATCGATTGGAATTGAGACTACAATTCTCTGGAATCTACAGTCTGCTGGAGGAAGCCCTCGACGAAGAAGAAGAAAGTATCGAAGATGGTGAAAGTAGCAACATTCTTTGCGATGACTTTGGGTGCCTTCGTTTTCTGGCAGTCCATGGACAAAGTTCATGTCTGGATCGCTCTTCGCCAGGACGAAAAGGTCTCTCTCTCTCTCTCTCTCTCTCTCTCTCTCTCTCTCTCTGGTTATATATATATATATATATTGTGTTTGTGTGCGCGCGCATTTCAGATTGTATATGAGGCTGTGGATTAGGGTTTTCTGATTCGGTGGATTGCTTTGATTTTTCAACTCAGATGAATGAACTGATATGAAACAACCTCCTAGAATATAGTTAACGAATTAGATCAATTTGCACCTCCCATTGACGATTGATGAAATATTGCACTCGCACAGACAAGAAAAAGAGGAATTTGAGGATGTTCTGCATTAAACGGAGATAGATTTGTGTTTCTCAAAATGATGTGTTGTATCAATTCCCAAATGTGGATGGTTAAGCACTTGTTCGTTTTTTCTTTTGTTGGGCCATTTGGAGAATAATTTGTGGGCAATTTTCTCTCAAATGCATGTTTTCAGGTGGCATACTCTTTAACTGTATTGATTTTATTCTAGCAAAGGTTTTGATGAGCTTTTTCCTGTCTATAATGGGTCACCAACGTCTAATCATCGATGTGGATTTAAACCTTCAACACAACAATGCATTGGAATATTTTCAGTGATATTAGTAGATGCTATTCGAACCACTCTTTTTCTGTCCATATCAGCATTTCGTGTAGAGGTTATTATGTCAGCAATAGTATCCTTACCCATGATGAATTAAAATTATTGGTGCCTCCAAATTTTGATATAATCAACATGTTTTTCTTGTTTTTTTACTTATTTGTTTTGTTTATGAATCTGAATTATTAAAGATCTGGTTTTTTCGTGTAATTGCAGCAAGAAAAAATGGAGAAGGAAGCGGAGATAAGGAGAGTGAGGGAAGAGCTACTGCAACAAGCCAAGGAGAGGGATCCCCTTGCCTAAGATTAGTTGCTCTGTCTTGTGACGCTGGTGGCACTTTTCTATGAATTTCCTATATTTCTGTTCCCATTGTATTACTCTGGTCAGACTTGACAGATTTCTCATAAGAAATGACTCCTGTTATGATTGTCATCAGGGAATTCTTCTGTTCACTATTTCCTGTTTTGGCTCTGCCAGCAATTGCAAAGTTGGTTCTTATGTGGCTATGCATGCAAATTGCAATCTTTGAAATCAGAAGTCGGTTTTCATGTGACTTACATATATGATGTTGAGATCTGTACTTGATGTTAATATGAATAATGTGTTTTGATTATGGGATCTCTTTGAGATTTTAGTTTGGGGAAGAGGATAACACATATTCACCACCTATTTTGTTGCTGTTTCCGTGTCATCGAAATTTTCAGACTGAACTTCGAATTTTTTTGTTGAGAGAGACTTGTAGTTCCACTTCACTACATTCTCCTTCAATAACTTCTGCAGGAAAAATGCCTATTTTGGTGTCAGATTACCATCTGCAGGAAAAATGCCTACATTCCTACATCAATAAAATCCTTTTTATTCTACTTGTATGTTGTATTGTATATGTCTTGTTGTAAGTCTTAGGTTATATAATACAAAGAGCAGCACATTCTTTTACATCAATAGACAAAACTTTTTGAGACTGTTCTTCATTATCTTGTTTCTCTACTACTTGGTTGAATGTTCGTGAGACAAGTCTAATACGTAGAAGTTGAAATATTCAATTTTGATTCATGTTCTTAGTTGATTTTGAAAAGTTAATCGAGTGTTGATGTTTCTGCTATGTATATGTAGTATTTGCACTTCATAGATCATACTATTGTTCTAATATTAATCCTGGTTGTTTTCTTTTAATAAGAACACTGTATGTGCTCAGTACTCAATGTATTCAACTATGACCAAAACGAAAAAAGTCTAGGAGGGAAAAGTATGTGCAGTTTAAGCCTGTAATACTTATTCACATAATTGTGAAGCAGTTGGTTCCCATTGTAGGCAATGATAATGATGTTGCATTTGCTCGCAGATGAATGCTCAAAAATTATGTCTGGTGTAGCGAGATGAAACGTAGCTTACGTTAGGTGTTAAAGATCGTAAAATGGAAGCAGTGGACATCTTACACAATTCCAAGAAGGGAAATAAGTAGAAGAATACTAAGTTTATTTTTATAATTACCAGTTCCTTGTTTCTCAGCAATCGTGCTTTTTATGGAAATGTGCGAGTTAGGGTAGTACTTGTCTGAGTTCTTACATTACCAGCTAGGCCCAAGTTTATTTACCCAACAGATGAAGCAAGGAATTACCTTTGCTGAATGCCCTTCGTTGTCGCATTGGTGCTTGGTTCCCCGTCTCAAAGCCATTATTGAGTGTCCCATGTGATGTGAATTCAGCATTTTCAGAGGACCCATGGTAATTAAGAACATGAAGCAGGGAGTTCTTCAAATAAATTTAAAGAAAAGATTAAAAAAAAAGTACATTTTCCCAAAATTAAGGAAAAAAAACCTCTCTCTCTCTCTCTCTCT